TGGGGGTGGGCGCTGGGTCGACGCTTTGTCCGACGGACATCCCCATGGACATTGCCAAAGCGAGATGAACCCAGAGATAGAAACCAAACCGACACGCCCCACGCCCCCTCCTTTTTGGGGGCTTCAGGACCAATGGATGATCATGATTTTGGCGTTTGGAAGAGAAGAGGCGAAGGATTAAATGGCAATGGTTGCTGATGTGTCGGATTTAGATAGAATGCATATCGACGTTTGGTGATCTATCGCGAGCACTGGTGGATGGATGTCCAGTTAGAGATGGCAGAAGAGGCTGACGGGCTGGAAGAAGGATGCGAGACGTTGCTGGGTGAAGTTCGGAGAAAAAGACACAACTGCCCTGCCCTGGCTGACGTCGTCGGACTTGACGGTGGTGGGGGAGAACGGCGGCGGACGGGATGCGGGCAAGTGGTGGGCTGCGGCTTGCGGCTTGCGGCTTGCGGCTCTCAAGGAAGTTGGACGACGCCCACCACCGCACTCCATGTTCCTTCCTTCATCGATTGAAAAGATACGTTCCTGATTCCGATACGTACCAAGCTCGGATAGGTAAGCAAGGTGGATCGCTTCCTTCTTCCATTGCCCACCGTTGCCCCTTTTGGTGCAAGAGTGGGGTCTCGGGCCCCGGCAAGTAAATGGGCAAGGGGGAAGAGCACCACCTTTCGATCTCACCTCACCTCACCCCACGTCCGGTAGGGCCAACAGGTGGGCACGTACCGATCAAAGTGGGCACAACTTGCAAAGTGAGGGTGTTGTCGTCAAACGCCTTCCTCTCTTTTCCTGCCCACGCACCGTGGCACCTTAACACCGCCCAGCTCCTACCAATCCACCCAGTGCTATTCCCGTCCACCTCATCATGCTCATGTCAGAACAGGAGAGGAACGTACCGCCCCTTCACCTGAAAACTGTGGTACCCAGAATAGCTGTCTCTTGACTTACCTACCTCAGCAGGAAAGCGGATATTCTTGATACCTACCACGCCCTTCCGAGTAAGGTACTCCCGTAGTGTACCTATCCCTACATCGACATCCATATCCCTATTCATAGTGAATATGCAAGTTACAGCGCCCGGTACCGAGGAAGGTATCGTTATGGGAAGCTTGTTTCTCCATTCTTTAGCTGCATCTGGGAAAGCATAGACTGTTCAGCCGGTCTTTATCCAGAGAAACGGTCACTGATACTGGACTGTACCGTTCCCAAAAGAAACGAGGCCAACGCAGGTCCCCAAACACAAGTCCACTCACCTCTTATGGGTAGGTCAATCATCGCCTCTCGATGATGGTCGGTCAGCAACACGTACCTCAGTACACGGTCAATGTACCTTTGGCAGTACCTTACTTCGTACCTGGGAACTCCGGATACAGCCAGTAGGTAGGGTTGGAGTTGGAAGGCAAAAAATGTGCGGACGGTGCGGTGCGGGCCATGGATGTTCCGGGAAGATCCCTTTTCTATTGTCGCCAGGTCTATCGTTCTTCCCTTCCACTTCGTGAACCTGGTTCCGGTACGTACACGGCCACACGGCGAACCTTGGTCAGGGCAAGCGTGGCACTCGTGGCCTTGTCTCTCGGGGCTCGCATCCCCTTCCGCAGCCTTGCCTCTTCTAGTAAGGCGTCGAGGCAAGGGGTCCCATTTGGCGTCGTTTCCCCTTACGCTTATTCCTATTCTCTGGAGCCGGTTCAGAGCCTCGACCTCTTCTTAGTGAGAGGGGACTGCAGATCATCTCCTTGACTCCATCTGCCAGCTCCCTTGCCACGCCGTGCCATGGGCCGCCTCTCGAGCCAAATCTCCACTATCTTCCCGGATGCCGTGCTTCGACCTCGACCGTCGAACAGGCCATCGTCTATTGTGGGCATAGTCGACTTCCACCGTTCCACCGGACACGCGCGCGCGCGCACGCTGCACCTAATTACCTACACCACTACCTCCATGCACTCACTGTACGCCCTGGCGGAAGCTCTCGCGGAGCCTCTCGCAGAAGCACAAGCGCGGCGACGGCGGCGGCAGGAACAGGAACGCGCTCTGGAGTTTGAACAAACGTCCCCACTCGTACCACTCAAGCGCCACTCCAGTCGGCTTCGTCTCTACTCTAGGCCCTCTGTGTCTGTATTCCAAACATTCGATTACCAAACACAAGCACCGCTGGCAAAACAGCCTGCGTCAGCACGGTGCCACACGTCCTAGAGGACATCGCTTTCATCCGATACATGGCACATGCCGTTTGGAAACACTCGGATGGCAAAGACGGACAGTGATAGAACAGACCGACACACTCGTACGCATCCACGCACTCGCCCCATGCCTCACCTTACTTTCCTCTGTCTTGGGCCCTTTGCTCAGCTGTGCTGGAATTCAGATGCTTCTTTCACAAGCACCTTAATCGGCTCTCCCGGCTCTCAGCACCGACCTATTTCTTCCTTTTTCCAGAATAACCTGGAAGCCACAAGTGGTATCCGAATCAACGGTCCGACGGACAACGGCCAAACCAAATCCGATCATGTCTTTCATCGTTTATGTTTGCTCAGGATCTGGTCCAGGCAACTTACACACATCCTAGGCAATATCAGGCTGACGACCAGAACGACGACCGCAACACAATGATAAATCGCCCCAGAATGCGAAGTACGGTATACGGTGCTGCACTGCATGGCTTAGCACAGGACATTTTTCGATTTGATATGCAGTCCCAAATTCGCTCTCGCTACCTTATCTTCCTTCATTCAACGTTTGCAGGCTTTGAGATTGGCCGGTACTTGCAACGGCTCATTGCCTGCCTCTTCAGGCTGACTCTGACAAGCTTCAGTTTCCAGAATACCATGCTTCCCTGCTGTCTTGGCTTGTGAACTCCAGCATCGCTGTGATGAGAGGGGCGTGGGCATTGGCCACCGTGGAGGATGGAAAGGGCGTGGTCCTAGTCGGCCCGTACGCCATATTCCTCGCAAAGACGTTCAACGCGGCACATATGTGGAATGCATGCCTTATCTGGTCATTCATCCCAATACCTAGCGCCTGCCTCTGTTCCGCCCCAGTGGGCAGTTGGGCAAACGAGAGACACTCTTGGATGCGGCGTCTCGGAGCAGGTTGTGCCCCAGTCGCGGTCAGTCAGTAACCTGGTCCACTGTCCATATCGTGCTGCTGCCAGATAAGTGGTTGGGTATGGACGAGATACGTCTAGTCGGTGCAATGCTCACCTGAAAGTCGGCCGTCTTGAGCAGCGGGGACGGACGGGCTTGGTGGCGCACAGCCAAGCTCAACCGGGCTACCGCGTTAAGCCTCTTCAGGCCACCCAGACCCAACGTTGGTCGGCGCCCCATGGTCGACGAAGACCATGTTCGACTGATATCTGAGGCGATAGTGGTACTTTGCAGAAGCCCGTATTTGAGACGGATCTCGACGACGTTCTGCCAGGAGGAAACCATCTGCGAAGATCCTCATGTAGCTATCTAATGAGGATCCGATGCCTAGGCGACAGTCATACATTGTGCGGACGGAGCATTGGGCGGCCACCGAATGCCCGAGTCTCGAAATCATCCATCTTGACGGCAAGCTAGAAATGGATGACTTGCAGATGCAGAATTGTATGCACACGAGAAACAAGCTGACCTTCTCGTTCTTTTCCTGGTATTGATTGCGATGATGGACGGGCCGCCATGGGATATTGTTCGTCGATTCGCATTGCAACTGCTGTCTTGAATTGCCCAGGCCTTCGGGATCCCACATTGCACGGCACAGGATATGGTCAGAACAAGGACATTGTTCGAAATAGACCTTCGTGATGCTTTCCACAAGGTGCGAGCTGTCGTCTTGTTTGTCTACGGGCAAGGTGAAAACAAGGACGACAATGGAGATGTGGTGGGATGCTCTAGCGGATGTCAAGTCGTAGGTGAACCAATCACAAAATCGCCGGCGAGTCCGCGCAGCCCAAATGGCACCCTAGAATGGAAGTTCTGACCACTAATCCAAACCTCAGTAACTGGCCACAGGCTCTTCTTAGGTGCCTTTCGCTCTTCTACTGCAAATCCTCCACTAAGACCACTGCTTCACCACCGAACCTTAGCAGCCAGCTTTATCCGAGGGCGGCCCGCTGTCTATGCTATCCCCGTTGCCACCAGCGACAAGGGATTCCTTCTTCATGGGGCAGTACAGAGTACAGTGGTAGCAATGGGTACTAGTACACAACACACGATGTGGCTTTTATCGACTCACAGCGCCTAAGATACCTTATGTTGTACGAGCCCAGGGCACTGTCGCATCCTCCCGGCGCCCAAAACCCAAAATACGGAGGGAAGGAGGGGAGGAAGAGATGGTGGGGGAGGGCTCACCAAGCCCAGGCTCTCGGAGACAAGGACAATCCTTTCCCGGCCGGCGCTCACCTACACTGGACGTGTTAACTCACTCTGTCCAACAACTCATCTCACCGCATCGGGACTGAGCCTCCTTATCTCGAAATCACTCACTCACTTTGGCTTCACTTGACGAAGCCGGACACGCGGGGGTCGAATCCTGTCATCGCAGCACATCGCCAGATTTCACACCCCGCTTCACGCCCTTCCCCTTTTCCATCTCGCACTTTACCTTTCGGGGAACAGCTTACCTTGCTTGACACGGCCTTAGCCTGCGATGCTTGTCTTCGTGCCTAGCGGCATGCTGATCTCCAACGGTCCCCTCCCCAATAGAAGAAAAGGAAACGAAACGCGACTAATCACTAGCAGGAGACAAACGGGCATCGTAAATCCTATCCGTACTCCCTCACAGAAATAGATTTGATGGCTTGGCTACTAAGACCTACGGCGGGATGTATTCTCTGCCCAGTGCCGGAGTACCCTCCACCATTACTCAACTCCGAGAGCAATCTGCACCCGGCTAGGTGTTGGTCCTGGTTCACCGCAAGACGCTATACATCTGTCCGGAGGGCAAACGATCGGAATCGGCGCCGCGGCTTGTCGTCTCATGCCGGCTCTATCCCTTCAGCCAGCCTCCTGGAGCTATGCATGAGCCCAACAGCAATGGTGTTGGTCGATCGCATTTACCACAACAGGCCTATTGCCTTGGTATGGTCGAACGCCCTCTCTGTGCTACCTCGCAACTCTCCCAAGTCCCAAAGTATGGATAGCAGTATGTGAGACACATCAACGTCATTTCTATCTCGACCGGGAAGCTCTGCAACAAGGTGCCGCCATGAGCCACAGCCTTGGGCCTCCTGCCAATAACGAGTCATCTCTCTCCGTGCATCCGGACTCCATTGTTGGCCAACGGTGCCCAAACGGTCCAGGTGGAACACTATGCAACTCTGCTTCGTCTCCAAGTCCGAGTACGGCAGCCCAAACGATTATTCCTGCTTGGAGTACCGACGTTCCGGTCTGGAATGCTCCTCAACGCCGAATTTGGCCCAAGATGGTGCTTCCGTGCCGGAATCCAAGTGCAGCTTTGCGCCGGCTTCCACGGCGAACGCTGCAAGCTTTGCCTGCGTCAAACCATCAACAATGGGTCCATGAAATGCAGCCGCTCGCCCGTCCGACTTACCTTGGTGGGCCCAAGAAGCGCGCAAGTTTACCTGAGGCTCCGGCCGGTATCCAAGGCGGGGAGGAGGAAGGGCAGTCCAAAAAAAACCCACTCACAAATCCAGTGCGGCTGTGCTATCGGACGTCCGACCACGCCTGCATGGCGTGCCTTGCTTCGTCCCTCTAGCGCGTCTAACCTCGACGGGGGCTCTTGCCAATTTGATCGCTGTTTTTATTGCAGAACTACTGCAGTTTTGCCAATGTGTAGTGGTGATGCTGATAAACCACGCCTAGCTGACCCGGTGCTGCTCCCTTGAACTACCGAAGCCTGCATATCATAGGAATCATTAACCAGGTACATACGACCATCCCATACTCTTGCTGACGATTCGGACCTGCCAGGCTGCAAATCTCTCCGTCGTATTTCAAAAAACGATGACGCTTCTGTATTACCATGAACACACTCTCTGAAGATCTTTCAGGCCAGAGGGGTGCCTCTAAGGCACTTTGAGGTTATCGATATTCACTTTTCTTGTTCATACCGGCTAATGGTTCTGACAGGGAGTAGGGTCGGCTCTACCACCAACCGCTTGTCCTCTGAATTCCGTGGCACTAGACATTCATCAATATGGTGGACACTCTTCTGTCATACATGCACACTCCCATCCGCAGCACCGATCATTTTCCAGAACGTCCCCCGCCTCGAAGTGTCTTCCTTACGGTCGCTCGGCTATTCTGCAAGCCTATGGCCCGGACGTGCTCCCGGGCTAGTCGAGACACCTTCCTCGTAATCATCCCGGAGGAATACCTCAGTCCTGCGATCGAATCCTTCCGCGGTTAGCATACCTCTCGAAATAGAAGCCCCTGGAACTCGTTGTACGCGAACAAGCTTGGACTCGGTCGAGCTTAAGACCTGCTCTATCCTTGCCGTGGCAGCGTGAACCAATGTTTGTAAGCAGCTCCCACTAAGTAGACGTCGAGATCTGGTGAGACTTTTCTTGACAACGGGTTCTAGTAATTAGACACTGACACTAGGTGCTGCGTTCTTCGGGGAATATTGTTAACCTCAGATGTATTTCTAGGGCTCGAACTGGCTTGCCTCGGAAGGTGAACTCGAAGATCATCTATTTGATCTCGTTTCTCCAGGATACAAGTCTTTGGCCTTTCTCATATTCCTACGGACATTTCGAGACATGGACTTCTGGTCCAAGACTGCTTTTCTAGAAGCAGTAGGTTGGCGGTTTAGGCAACCTCAACTACTCTCATCTCTTCCTATCCAATCACTTCAAACTACGGGTTTCCAGCTGTTTGCTTACCTGACATCTGACAATCAGGCCATCTTTGTGGAAAAAGCCACAAGCTAGGCACATCTGGCAAAGCAAATTGATAACGACCCAAGCTGGCGCCATACCCGCAAGGCCAAATCTGTGGCCTTCGGGGCTTTCCTCTAGTATGTCAACCGATCGATCCGAGTGGACTATTACACGAAAATGATAGACGTGGCTGCATATTTATTCTGTTCTGCCGAGGCTCAGTTTGGAAGAAGGCCTGCGCCTCTAGGTTGCAGTTGTCTGGCGATGCTACGTTGTCCAGCAGCTTCTTCATCAGCCTTATCTGTCCGCCCCTTGTCAGTGGAACCGCCATACAGTCTCTCAAGGAGTAGTCTTCTACCTTGTTTTCTGCTTCTGACTGTGTTCCCCATGTCTCAGAGGGCCTGACCCAGGAAGCGCATTCGGTCCTATGAGGACATGAGCATGGCTTGTTTTCGCTGTCCACCAGCGACTCAACTCCAGGCATAAGCTTTCAGCCCCATCAACGGGCATATTCTCACAACTACCCACACAATCTTGAAATCGGGCGTCTTATTCCTGTCTGACCACCCGAACTTCGGTCCTTGGCTGGCGCATGCTTGTCCGAACATCGGGCGTGCAGGGCTTCCTCTCTCTTTCCTGGCCATGGCTTCCATATGCATACTTACATCCTGTCCCCAGCTCTGTATGGACTTTTGACTCTCCAGACAAGAACCTTATCGTTATACCCCCCAGGGCCACGGAATAAGACGAATAACAACCTGCTTTTCGTGGATCTCACACGCCCCTCCTTCTGCAGGACGCATCTTGGCTCCTGCCAGATCCAACTTTATCCAAGTTCCCGTAGTGCCGGGGCGCCGCTTGGTACGGGGGGCCTCTCTTTTCTTCCCAGTTTCTGCCCTACGTCGGGAAAGGGCATGGGACGAACGGACGAGAACGGCGTTTCTCCCGGCTCCAAGCCTGCGGTTTACTCCTATGCCGCTCGGCTCGGGGGACACATCTCGGTTGAATGATGCTGACCGCTTGCTGTTAAGTCTCTAGAGTTATGTGTGCTTTTGGGCTTTTTCTTTCGTCTCGTTTGTTTCGATCTCAAGTTCTCGGGACATTCAGAAGATCTCGTTTGAGGATCAGGAGATCTTGCGCTGGGAGTCTCTTCCTCTCTTGACTTGTCTTGACCGTTGGAGGTTTATCGAGTCCCGGGGGACTGGGATTGCTCAAACTTCTTCCTCAAAGGTTCGTAAATCTACGATATACATGTGAAGACACAACGTGCCCTGGCTGCTTAGTATTTGGGTCTATCATCACGAACAAGATCCCTTGATTAGTTACTATGCCGTCATTGCTCTACATGGAGCTCTAGGACTAGGTTTCTGTCAGAGTTGGCATGTTACTCACGTTCTCTACTAAATTAGCATGTAAGAAAGCCGCTACTTCTATTCGAGACGGGAAACGGGTCAACTCTAGAGCCCGGATACCACAATACTCATCCAGCACTCTTATCAAAGCCCCGAGAATGTTGTGATCTATCCGATCTGGACATTACCGAAAGTCCATCAAGCCGTTGATTGTATCTTGGACGCAGACCCCCCTCCTAAGTCCGAAAGTGTCCGTAGCCCACGGACTATCGAATTTGTCTATTTGGCTGTCTTGCTTATCAAGAATCATAACGCATCGAATACAAGCACTCCCTGTGTGTGCGTCTCTCTAGTTGCCTGTGTGTCTATGGTTCCTGTGTGTGTATGTATGACTGCCCGTCCTCACCCTCCAGCAGCAGGAGCAGCAACAGCCATGTAAGTCAAAAGGTAAACATGGTCGTGCCCACCGCCTTGCAGCGTTCTTTGCAATTGGACGAACACGCAGAAACCGTATGTCCAGTCCTGCAAGCCTGCACTCATACACACGCACGCACACATACGCATACGTACACTTTGGCTGGTGCTTAGGTGCCAGGGCTTACACACGCCCCGCCGCCCGCGCGCCTGCGCTCAGCCCATTCCCCCGAGGCGTACAGATTCTGACACGAACATTGGGAAAAGTAAGAGACGAACGAACGAGGACAGCAGCCAATGTCTCACGCACTTTGTCTTTGAACGAATCAAGAGTTGGGATTGAGGGGGGCGTTGTTGCTGACTAGAGTCCTTTTTTTTTGTTTTGGTGTCAACTCTGTTTCTTCCCTTTCTCTTCTTGCTGTCTCTGTGTCTCAAGGCACTTGGGCTGCCTCCCCGGGTTGACCTCTTTTCTTGGTTTTCATCCCCTCTTTTTTTCTGTTTTTCTCCTTTGGACCTCTGGGCCTTGGAACATGAACCTCGAATCCCATCGTTGTGGTACCCCGCGAATGAGCAGCGGAAACGAGACCGAACCTGATTACATGCTATCTTTTGGATCCAAATTACATCCGAGAGAGACCGTGGTTTCTTCATCTCTGGTTCCTTGTTATGTTACTTGGCTTACAAAACTTCCCACGCCCTTTTTCAAGGATCATAGAGGCAAGAAGACACCCCCCCCCCCCCCCCCACAGTGATGTGGTGATATCTTCCCGAGACCCAAACTACGGAGAGAGAGAGAGAGAGAACGGACCACGACCACCAAGGCCTCCCTTTCTTCTTTTCCTGTCTTTTCTTAGTGACTGTCACGGCTTTGAATGTTTCAAACGGGTTCTTCGACGGATCCCGCTAGATTCCCGTCTTCCCGCTCTCCCCTTGTTAGGTTTCGTTTTCTTCGAACCCGTGGAGATGGGAACCAGTCATGTTCGGGTCAGGCCAGCCCAGTCTGTGTCAGCCAGTTCGTGGTTCCGGCGAACTGGGGCAGAGTTTGAGAAGAACCCCATGGACGCTGGTTGTTCATCTTCTCTCTGGGGGAGCATGGCCGTGTTTTGTTTCCCGTGTTATTGCCCCCCCCCCCCCCCTGGCTCTACTCCCTCTGTGTCTCTTTGCTATCTCAATGATACACAGTTCTCATCAGAATCAAGGTGTACAGTCCGCTCCCCCCCCTTTTCATCTTTCCTCAATCCAAACCTTACCAGCCATGTAAGAGAGCAGGTAAGATGGGAAAGCGGTCAAGCTTCTTCGGTGCCGCTGCGGGATGACATGCGTCAGCTCCGGTTGCGAGACAGGTTGTTGAGAGGAACGTGACGAATGGGAAGGGACTGATGGGTTCCTCTTTCTCTCCGGTGTCGTATCCCGGAATCCTTCCTGCTCTTTTGTGTTTCCCAACTTTTCTAAGCTTGTCTCGGGTTTCTTACTGCCATTTCTAGAGCCTATCACATACTCAGTTTCCAACCAAGTTGACCGGAACTGGGAAGGTATCACGATATGGCATCATTCTCTTCTCAGCTGTGGGGGATTCCTCAAAACATTACCTCCACTCACTTTCTTATCTTCGGGTGGACTGGGCGAAGCTCGTCGTCCCCACGCTTCCGTCCCCTGGTCATCTCGCGGTTTTTGAGCTGTCCTTGGATATCGTCAATTTCATCACGTTGCATCACCGAAGGGCAAAGGCCGATCTCTGCTTACTTCCCTTCCTCGTATGTGTAGGGCCACCATCCATGCCGTGCTCCAGGAACTTGACCGCCCCCAACACTGCGCATCGGAAACTTTATTGCGAGGAAGCCTTGTTCTTCCTCTTGTCTTTTTTTGCGTTACACGTACTTGTGAGTGTGTGCTTCGTGTGGATTGGCCTCTCTCATGTCCGAGACATGACGGTGCATGTTCTGATGTAGGCAGGGGGCGCCAGATGGAACACACACACACACACATATACACACGCACACATAGGTCTAGTACAGATGGACACACGCATACACCGTAGGGCAAGCAACAGCCCATTAGAGGTCCAGAGAGGTCTGCATCGGGTTTCCAGAGATGCAGATCACGGAGGT